CTTTAGGACTTTCTACCACTTTGTTTAAGCCATTTTTACATAAGCAAGATTATTATCATTCAGGCATCTATCCTTCCCCACTTGAAGTCTATCCTCAATATAGCAGCTTTTTGAAATATAAATTAGATCATATCATTCCTCTGCTCCAACTCTTCTGATGGAATGTGACATCTCATCTTCTTCAGAATCCTTACAATGTCCTACAAGGTCTTACCCTCAGATCTTATCTCCTAACCACTCTTGACCCTTGCTCAGTTCTTTACCCACATAATTGTCTTTTTCTTGCTTTTTTACTGCTGTAAGTATGTTTCTGAAATATCAGAACCTTTGTACTTGCTGTTACTATTGCTCAAATGCATATCAAAATAAAACAGGACACTTTCCAGAGAGGTTCTTAAGAGTTTTTTTCCTACTACCCATTTAGTCTTTAATAATGTGGTCTTTGTGCCACATTGCACATGACCTTTCCTACTGATTTTATAGTTTGACTATCAACTCTTTGAAATACTTATGGTACTATTTCATCTCCAGGTCAAGTTGACATTTAAGGTTTAATGGCATTAATTAAAAACCTCATGTTATTTATATATTCAGATGCTTTGAAAGTTTAATACACTTCTAAAATCATACTCTTTCTAAGCAAAAATTATGTTTACTATTTTATGGCTGTATGACTTTGTATTTGGTTAAGTAGCTTTATTAAATTGTTTTCATGTAAAATTGGAGTTTTTATTTCATGAATAAGTTTTAAAAATTCAAATCACTGGAGAACAACAGGCACTTACCTCTTTTTAACCAAATTTTAGAGCTTTGATTTTAAATGTAATTTCTCAAGCATCATTCATATGGAAAGATCCTTATTAAGTTTTAGCAACTGTTTTAATAATCTATAAACCTTAAAAATAGTAAATTAAAAAGATGTATTTATGGAAGTAGTTTTGATTTGAAGATTTAAATTAGTATAGCAATCCTCAAAGCTTTTAGGGATGCCTGTTTAATAAGATTCTACAAAGCAAGACTTATGTGCTGGCAAAATCTACTACATTACTTTTTTAAAATGGTACTGACCAGATGAAAGTATTCTTACTTCTGTAATTCTGATGTAATTTTGACTTAAAAAAAACTATTATGAGGAGTATATTATGCTATGTGTATTGAGGTATTGGGAATGTAAAGAGACATGTCCCCATACAGTGCTGCAATAACTACAGGAACCAGAAATTTTTAAAGGTTCTTCATCCAAAAGTTTTTTTTGAACTATGCATCCTTCCTAGTTTTACAGTTCTGTACCTCTCTTATGGCATCATCCCTTCCCATGTACCTTGCTTTCATAGCTCAATCTGTCTTATCAAGTCTGTGTCTAAAAGAAAGACTTAAGAATATTTGCATTCATTTTCTACTGCTACTAGAAATTTATCAGGTTTAAACAATGCCCAGTTATCATCTTCTGCAGGTCAGAAACCTGATGGGCTCACCAGGTTTCTTTGTTCCAAGTTTTGGAAGCCCTGGGGTAAATCCACTTCCAAACTCATTAAGGTTCACAGCCCTATTCAGTTTTAGGACTGAGGTCTCCATTTTCTTTCTGTCTTTTGGTGTCATTCTCAGCTTTTAGATGCCAGTTGGTATCTAGCCCCCTTCCTCCGTCTTTAAAGCCAGCATTTGCAGATTGATTCCTTTGCATGCTTCATGTCTCTCCTGTTTCTCTTTTCTGCTACACTTCTTTGACTCTAACTAGAGAAACTGCTCCCCTTTTAAGGGGTCAATTGATTAGCTTGGCCCACGTGAATAACACAGGATAATCTTCTTACTTTTAGGTTCATGACCTTAGTTTTATTTGCAAAGTCCCTTCACAGCAGTACTTAGTTTAGTTTTTGATTGAATAACCAGGGCTTAGGATTCTTGAAAGAGATATCTTTAGAATTCTGCTTACCACAACATATTTGACTTTTTTACTTGTCTCTAGGGTTGAGTACCATTCCATTTCTAAAGCGTAGTTTCCCATTTAATTGGTTCACATATATTGGGTTAGGTAGTGGCTGTTGATTTTCCTCTTTTTACTGATGGTTGTGATACATTTTTACAATTGTTTTTTTCTCATAAAAGAAAGGTAATTTTATACATCTGATACTTATTAGCTCTTTGTTACCGAGGATGAGAGGAATGAAAAAGAATGAATCTATTATACTTACTATGTATAATAGTTTTGATAATTTGCCACTTTCTTTACTCAGGTACCTGCAAAGTACAGGAGTCAATTTGTCCTTTTTCAACTGCAAGTTATTTCTTTTTTATTATATCAATATTTTATTTGCATAAAATGCAATAAAGGTTTAAGTTATTCCTCTGTCTTATTCTTATTTTTTTGAAAGAAATGCTGTATTTATTTTTAAACTTATGGTCAGAATATCAGGTTCCAGTGATTTCCAAATAGTTTTGGAATCACAGAGCAATTTTTCATGCACAGTGCACTTAATTCACAGTGCAATTATTATTTTTGGCTCTCTAACTTTATTAAATAGTTTTGAATGATTCGTATTGAGGAGTCTGATGGTATCATGAATCAGAATTATTTGGACTGATAAAACCAGTATACTCAGTTCACTTAAAGTGCAACAGAAATTTTGCTGGAGTTTTTTGGGCAGGATGGCTAACATCTAATTCCAAGTAATACGAATGTCACCTGTGTTACATTAAATGGCAAGGTATTTTTCATGATTTTTTTCTCCAACTCAAAATGTTTTATTGCTTTGAAATATTGTGTAAAATGAATTAATGGAGATATATCCTGTGGGATTTTAAAATTAAAAGTTATAATTGAATTTGCTAGTCTCTGGATATAAAGTAGTGAAAGATTCAGTATGATTCTTGCCCACATGAAGTTTACAGTGTACATTGGTTAAATAAACAAGTGGTATGGTAATCTGCATTTTAGCTTTTTTAGACAGTTTTTGTATTGGCATATATTTTCCAAATAAAGCACACTTAAGTCAGCAAGTAGTTATTTTAAATGAAAATATTTTATATATTTTGACATTTTTATTGTATAATATATAGTAATTAGAGGAGTATCAGGAAATGCATAGACATGAAAAGAAAATGAGAAACACCTGCTATTCCATCATTAGCACTAATCATTGTTAACTTTTCTATGTATGCCTTTGCTTTCTTTTTATGCACGTAGAAGTGTATATATTACAATTTGGCATTATTGCCAAATCTCTTGAATAATCTTATTTCTCTGTATATTATCTTTGACCTCAACATGCTTGTAACTTCAGCTTCAATGTATGGCTATCAGAAATTACTCAGACTCCTGTTAGAAACTCAATTTCTTTCTACCAGTTTTTAGCTAGTATCAACAGCTACAATGAAAAGTCCTCGTACATGCTTCTGCATCCATATCCTGAATTGTTTCTTAAATTATTATAATTTTAATTACTGATCAAGGCCATGTACATTTTAAAGACTTTTGATACACTTTATTAAATCAGACAATATATTTAATTGGCCTAGATATTTATTGAATTTATGAATAAATAAGTGAATGCAAAATGAATAGAAATATTTCTTACGGCATTGCAAGTACATAAGAATTCTTTATTGCTAAATTTAAATTGCTAACAATTGAATAGTTGTTAGCAATTTAAACTTAGTTAAAAAGAAAATTTATAAAATATGCCTCTAAAAACAATTCATCAATTTTAAGTGGCTCTTGGAGTAAATTTCACCTGTTATTAGGAATATTTCTGACTTTGGAAATGCTTAGCATTATGGGTTGCTGTTGTGAAGAATAGCCAAGGGTGCTGCTTTATGCATGAAATGTACCTTTTCAGGTTGGTTACCTAGAAATGTCTCTTTTGACCCATCATGATAACATTGAATTTATATTTTAAAGTGTTTACTATTCTTAATTCTTTAAGGATGTCCATATCTGAGGTGCAGTCTTGTCTATTCACTTCTACTTTTGAGAATATATGGAAGCCCTTCTTGCCCATGTACTCACTCAGTTACATACTCCTAATTTTTTCTTAATTTTTAAGTCCGGTGTAACACTCATTTTAACTCAATTCAAATAAGTATATTTTAAGTTATTAATTCACATGAGCCTTTTCAGTTTGGCTTTTATGAAATACATTAATAATGGAAACATTCAAGTTTTAGCAGAAGAGAGAGTATTAGTTTTCTTCCCCATAAAATTAATATAATGATATTTGTTTCTCAGGATCATTGTATGGTTTAGATATCATTTAAATAAACTACCTGATATAATGCTTAGCATTCAGTAGGTGATGAATAAATGGCATTTGTTACAATTATTATACTTATTTTGCTTCCAAAGGACCTGTGGATTGCTTTATCCTTGTTTTACAATTGAGGAAACTGGGGCACAGTGCATTTTAATGATTTGCATAGGGTCATTTGGCTAACAAATATAAACTGACAGCTATGTATTTCTGTCTTAAGCATTCTTTTCACTACCCATACAGCCTTTTTTTCCCCATGGGCATAAGAAATAACTTTTTGGCATGAAATCATTTACCCATATCATGAGAAATCTGATTCCCCATATGCATGACACAGAGTAGGCACTCAGCTATCATTAATGAATTGTATTGGACTAATGAGATATATAGATTGATGGTTGGGTTTACTCTTCTCTTGCATTGTGGTCTCAATTTACAATACACCTACAGGCCTGTATTGTGGTCTCAATTTACAATACAGATGTTAAATGTGGTAATCAGGGTACCTACCTCATAGCATTGTAATAATAAGATGATACCATACATGGAAAACATTTAGAAAAATGCCTGGCATCTTAAGCATAAAACAGACGTTAACTCTTAATAGTATATGATTTTAGAGTGGAAAAACTTTAATATATGATGAGATTATAACTCACCTGGGTATTCTCTATTATATATCATATAATTAGATTTAATACACTTTTTAACAATGCATACTGCTTTTATTTTTAATTTTTAAAATATATCTTTTAGGACTGAAAGAGGTGTCCCCACTGCCTCTAAATCTCAAACGTTTATACAAAGAGACACTGGAAATTGAACCCATCTTGATAATTATTTCTCCGGGTGCCGATCCTTCTCAGGAACTTCAAGAACTTGCTAATACTGAAAGAAGCGGCGAGTGTTATCACCAGGTAAGTACATATTGTCCCGCTGTTTTTGTCTTTGCTATTGCTGTTCCCGCACTTGATGATATTGGTCAAATGAACATTTTTGGTTGTGATAAGCCAAATAATGCCCCAAAAATTGTCTATGTCCTAATCCTCAGAACTGTGGATATGTTATTTTCCATGGCAAAAGGAACTTTGCTGATCTAATTAAGGATCTTCAGATGGGAAGAGTAGCCTGAATTAGCCAGGTGGACCCAATATAAAATTACAAAGGTTTTTTTTATAAGAGGGAGACAGGTGCGTCAAGAGCGAAGATAGGAGATACGATGATCCAAGTAGAGGTCAGAGAAGACAGACTGTGCTGTGCTACTGGCTTTGAAGATGGAGGAACGGGCCATAAGCAAAGAAATGTAGGTGGCTTCCAGAAACTGGAAAAAACAAGGGAAGAATTATCTTTTAGAGCCTTTAGAAAGAACATAGCGTTATAGTAGTACCTTTATTTTCAAACCCAGAACCTTGATTTTAGGCCAGTGAGAAACTTCTAGCCTCCAGACATTTGGTGATAATTGAAGGCACTAAATCTGTTGTAATTTATTAAAGCAGCTATAGGAAATTCATAAATTTGCTTTCATTTTGAGAATTACTTTTAAAATTTTACTTGGATGCTTTTACGATAAATCACAGTAATGTTCATTTACACTTTATTTACCTGAACTGAAAGAAATACATAAAATTTTGAGTAAAATGTATTCATTGTAATGTAATTTTTTTTCCCTGAGGTAGGAACTTTTGTTTGTTCAGGGTGTCTCCTTTTTTTCAGTTTGCATGTAAATTTGAAAATGAAATGTATTAATTCACCCTCAATGTTTAACAAGTGAATACATCTTTTTCACTGGGAAAATAATTAATAATGATTTTTTAAACAACTGAATACTTCATAGCAACCCAAAATTGAACAGTAAAAATTTTACAAAGAAAAATATAAATGAAATATAGCAAAATAGTAGCGCTGTTAGGCTCAGGTGTGCAGGTTTTGCACTAATAGAGAGTTCTGGTCAATCATAGTAGATTAGGTCTATATTAGGTCAATATTCAGGTATCAGTGAGGTGTCTTCGGAAGGGGAGCTCTACAGATTGTACCTGTTACTAGTGATTCTGGCAGGAAACTTAAACTATTCATATAAGCTTTTAATTATTTAAAGAAGATTAATTTCTGGTATTAGTTTGATTCTTCTTCCAAATTTATTGTTAAAGCCAGTTAGGAAGGTTTGGGGATTACTATTATTGAATCTCATACCGTTATATTATAACATGTTAGCAGATCTGTTTTTTAAATTTTGTTTGTTTGTTTTTTTGCTTTTGCAGGTTGCCATGGGTCAAGGTCAAGCTGATTTAGCAATTCAAATGCTAAAAGAATGTGCCCGCAATGGAGACTGGCTCTGTTTGAAGAACTTACATCTTGTGGTATCTTGGCTGCCAGTTCTGGAAAAGGTAGATTCAGATAAATGTGGTACAGATAATATCTATTGTACTCAACTTAGTAATCTCCAAGGGACATCAGTATTAAAATGTCATGCATTATTTATGATGATTTAAAAAGTAGTATTTGAGAAATTTTAGATTTAAATATTTCCTAAATATGTACAATTATGCAAAATAAGATATTAATAGGAAGTCTATAAAAATCTTTTTTTAAGGGCATATAAGAGAAGCCAAGACATTTTTAATGAAGACTGACAGGGAAGCTTGGAAGAAATATGTATACCATTAGTTTCTTTTTCTGCTCCTGTTCTCTTGGTCTGTATTGGGAGAAGAGACATAATAGGGTGTCAGAGGGAACTGCCTCACTTCCTATGGCTAATGAAGCTAGAGAGTAAACTGAAGCAAATGTTTCATTTATCTCAAATGGACTCAGGAGAAAAATAGTCTTAAGACCAGACAAGTCACTGGATAGGCTTTACATGCAAACCTAGATTTTATTCTGGTGCTTATTTAAGAAAGATGAGTAGGGTCTTGGGTAGTTAGAGATGATTCTGAAGAGATATTCCTTGAAAGCCAAATGGGATTTTGCTAAGTATAGGCAAAGAAAGGATATCATGATTCTAATTCCATCAGCACAAGCAGAGATAGTGCTGGGGATGTCCATCCCTAATACAAGGAATGAAGAGATGTCCTTGATAGTGCTAGAGGGGCAGGCCAGGCAGGGAAGTGTGGGGAAATTGAGTTAGATGACTAGGAAAGAGCTAGGTTATGGAATACACTGAGAACCATGCAGAAGATTTTGGAATTTTTGTCCTGGGACTTAGAGAGCCAAAGGAGGTCCTTAACAGAGAAGTTTATTTATTCTGGCAGTAGTATATAGTATAGAAGCAAACAGAATAGAGTAAATTGAGGGAGGTCCTGCCCTAGTTGTGAGGTATTAAAAATTTCTGCAGTCCTAATTAATTGGCAACTACACACTTCCACAAATAGAGTCAATAAATTTTTGATGAATAAGTTAATGAGTAAGTGAATGAACTGATGGACCATGGTGATTCATGATTCATTACCTGTAATCAAGAGGAGATACAGATTTTAGACTATGAATATTCATGTAATTATATTATGGCTTTCTGTAAAAATTACTAGTGTGTAAAAATATAATTTTTTTTTTTTTTTTTGAGACAGAGTCTCACTCTGTCCAGCCCAGTCGCCCAGGCTGGAGTGCAGTGGGACGATCTCGGCTCACTGCAAGCTCCACCTCCTGGGTTCACACCATTCTCCTGCCTCAGCCTCCTGAGTAGCTAGGACTACAGGTGCCCGCCACCACGCCTGGCCAATTTTTTTGTAGTTTTTGTAGAGATGGGGTTTCACCGTGTTAGCCAGGATGGTCTGGATCTCCTGACCTTGTGATCCGCCCACTTCGGCCTCCCAAAGTGCTGGGATTACAGGCGTGAGCCACCGTGCCCAGCCAAAAATATAAAATTTATGTCTGATAAATCATATATGTTTTGTTTTGTTTTGTTTTTGAGACAGAATCTTGCTCTATTGCCCGGACTGGAGTTCAGTGACACAGTTTTGGCTCACTGCAACCTCCACCTCCCGAATTCAAACGATTTTCGTACCTCAGCCTCTGAAGTAGCTGCAATTACAGGCATATATCACTATGCCTGGCTGATTTTTGTATTTTTAGTAGAGATAGGGTTTTGCCATGTTGGGCAGGCTGATCCGAACTCCTGGCCTCAAGTGATCTCCTGCCTCAGCCTCCCAAAGTACTGGGATTGCAGGTGTGAGCCACCACCCCTGACCTGATAAATCAAACATGTTTTAAGATATATAAAGAAGACTGGTGAATACTTGTACTGCTTTCTGTGTCAAACAGTTGATTGATAGCTACTAATCTATGTAAAATATAGTTATTATCTTGAAAGCACATCTTAATTAGAACTCTTAGAAACAGTACATAATATTATATAATTTTTAAAATAACTGATTATTTGCTTTTCTATTAGTTTGAATGAATTGATTGGATATAAATTTATAAATTTATTGTAAATCCAACTATATCCAGCTATAAATCCAACTATATCACAATGTATTGTTTTACCTTTTAAATTTTTTTAGATGTACTAACCCAAAGCAAAGGTTTATATAAATTTTCCTTTTTAAAGTTATGAGGTGTAAATACATTTTGTCCTTTATAATTTTAAGCAAGCACAATGTTTTTGTGGCCATTCTTTTGTCATTTCTTTCCATCATCTTAACTCTACATTTCATGTGATATTAAAGGAATGTTACTGTTTGACATCAATTATATTAAAATAATTTTTAGACTTCATTCTCTTTTAGAGCTATCAAAATTTCTTCTGTCATTTATTTATTCATTTATTAAATTTACAGATACTTGCTGAGTACAAGAAAAAGCCAGAAATTGTGCCAGGTTCTGGTTACCTACAGAATTTTTACCTGCTCTCTGGGAACTTAATTTAGAAGAGACAGATCACATTAAGAACTATATTGTGGGATGAGGAATACTAAGGGAAAAATTTACAAAATGACATGGGTGATTAAACCTGCTTTGGATTGTGGTAGTGAAGAGTTGGAGAAGATATTCCCCTAAGACACGATATTTAAATTATATTTTGACAGATAAGTAATAATTTGTCAGGTTACAAAGAGAATAATAGGCAGAGAAAATATGATGAGTATAGATAGTCATAAGAGTCTGGATAAATGACTAAAGCCCACAGTATGAGAAAGCATGGGCAGATTAGTTTGTATGGTGAAGTTTTGAATTTATATTACAGGCCATAAGGTGCTACTAAAAATTGTAAATAAGGGAATTAATATCATTATATAACTCTGTAGAAGCAAGAATTAAAGCAGTGAGAATCTAAAGACTTTAAGAAGGCTGGTAGTGCCGGGGGCTGTGGCTCACGCCTGTGATCCTGTCTCTTATACACATCTAGATGTGTATAAGAGACAGATGTTGCCCAGGCTGGTCCTGAACTCCTAGGCTCAAGCAATTCTCTTGTGTTGGCTTCCCAAAATGCTGGGATTACAGGCATGAGCCACCGTGCCTGGTCCTACCTGTTATTTTAGATCGGTACTGCTCTTTTTCATCTGAAGGTGTTAGTTTCATTTAAGGAAGAAAAAGGATAAGCATTAATCCAGGAATGCAAAGATGATTTAATACAGGAAATATTTTAATTGAATGATTATAAGGTCTAGTAAGAAAGAACTTTCCCAGAATCTTCTCCAGCTACAATCCCGCTATACACTTCTACTCATCTATATCCTAGAACTGGATTGCATGAGCCGTGAGGGCGGGGGTATTTGTTTTGCTTGCATTTTTGAACTTAGCATATAATTCAAGGCCAAGTAAGAGGAATTCAGTACATATTTCAATAAGGGGGTATTATTATACCAGGTAAACTGTTCCTTGAATGTTTTAACGTGTGACCTTTTCTGGGATCTTTAAGAGATAATTTGATTACATTTTTATGGAAATTTTCAGTTTGATTTCAATTATCAGTGAACTTTTTTTTTATTTCTGGAATCACTATAGGAAATTTTAACTATCTTAGCTTAGACTATTTGTGTAGTTCATTGAGATGTTCAAAATGATTATATGTATGTGCATATATATAATATAGACATATATTATCATTTTTTAAAATTGTTAAATTCACTTCATTATTTTTTTCTTTTTTCGATTAGTTGTCAGAGTTGTTTAAAAAATTTGTTTTCCAAAGAACTGATCCTTTACTTATGAATTTGCTTTTCCTGATTCTTTTCATTTCACTGAATTTTCTTTTTTCTGTTTTTCTTTCTAATGCTGTCTTTAGATTTTTTCTGCTTTTATTCTTCCTGATTTCTTGAGTTGAATGCTTGTTTTGTATTTACTTGCATTCATACTGAAATTGTTCTAAGTCTGAATTTGCAGCTTAATATGTCTTTGGCTTTATTTCACAATTTTGGCATATTAGTGTTTTTGTTTC